AAAAGGAGAAACAGTTTGCCAATGATGAGTTTACTAAATTCCTTCTGCAGGTTATGTGTTGGGCAGAAGGTAGAGTTTGCCTAGACTGCTCTGTGCCCTTTCTACCAGCCAGTCCTTCTGTGTAGAAGCTTAGGAGTGCCCTGCTTTTCTAGCATGGGTTTGAGATGGCTTAGGAAGTATGGCCCTGTTTCTTTCTTAGCACAAAGGTTGTTGTTATAGAGAGCAATGATATTGTGGTTAAGAATATACATTTAGGTATCAGCTAGGCCTGGATTTGAGTTCCAGCTCTAGGATGTATTGCTGGGACCTCCCAGAAGTTACCTAAGGTCTTTGGCCTTCACCTATAAAGTGGAAACAAAAATACACCCTTTGACTCACAAACTTATAAAAATTAGATGACATACTGCGTGCAAAATACCTGGACTTACTTATGCTACAAACTGAATGTTCAATAAGTTCCTGTTTTCCCATATTAACAGGCAGAATCAGAAAGGTAAGCATGAATCGAAATATAAGAGAAGATCCCCATATGTACATTTTAAGAGTTCTTAGAATGAATTAAGGAAAAATGAAGAATAATTTTTCTTATGAATCTCTAAAAATAATACCACTGCTCAGCTTTCATGTTGACTGAAGTTGTCCTTCAACTGAGATTAGAACAAAAGACTTATCACACATCTTCCAACATAGAGGATGCACCCAAAAGAACACTCTCTCCTCTTAGGAAGGAGGAGAGTCTCTCTTCTCTCCTGTCCTCGGGTGTGCTGTACTGACATCCATGCTGACTTCCCCTGAACACCTGCTTGGAGGTGCCGTTACTAATGGGGTTCTTTGGGAAGGACAGTTGACAGAGCAATCACTCTGCGTCCTTCCTGTTTGCCAGAATGCTGTGGCCTCGACTTAGAATCAAATCCATTTCCAAGGATCACATCTGCCTGCTGCATTTTCACTTGTGTGCTTGACTGGAGAATACTATTCAGGGAATTGTTACTTTCATGGATCTTGCTAGTTGAAAAGTGAGGTTCACAGCTGGCCCCAGAAGCAGGTCAAGGTCATCCAGAACCAAGGGAACTCCCTGAGTGGCAGTGGAAACCTTCACTGGAATATAGAACAGTCCTTGCTTAAGGATCTTGAGTGCCAGTTTCATTTTAATGACGAGACTAGTTTCAACAGTATGTTAAATATTTCACTTAAAAATTCAGTCTGGCCACATTGCAGTTGTTTATGTGAAAAATATATGCATATGTATTTGGGCACTCTTTTTAACCTATTAAGAAATACACACACACACACACACACACACACACACACACACACATTTCTTCTCAATAGGTTAAAAAGGAGGGCCCAAATTATCAGAGTCAAAAGAACTTCACAGAAATTTGGGATACAGAGAATACCTTTAAGTAAAAGTATTCCACAGAGGTTCAAAAGGTGCTAATAGTTTTGTGATGTTACAGAATAAATGCCCCAAATAATAAATCTATCATTGAGCACCTGTTGTGAACACTCTAGACCTGGACAAAGTTCGGGTGGGGGAAACGATTACTATAAAAGCACTATGAGATGTAACCCTTGTGTTTAATCAATGATATCACACAGAGAGTGTAATGAAGGGCAGATTGCAGGCTTCATATTGTATACAGGAATAGGGACTTCAGATTTTAGCATCTTTTCTACAAGGCTTTTGAAAACTTGTATAGGATTTATTTTTCTGAAGCATAAACTCCCTGCTTTTTTTTTTTTTTTTGTACTAGGGATAGAATTTGGGTCCTTGTGCTTGTGAGGCAGGCAGTGGCACCATTGAGCTAAATCCCCAGCCCTGCTGCTTTTTTGATACCAGATTTATCTAAGCCTCTGTTTAGATTCTAGAGAAGGCAACTTTCTGCGTCCTAACTCGTCTGGATCACCTTGTCAAGATATGGTGTTTATCAAAAGTTCTAAGGGTCGGGGATTTAACTCAGCGGTTCGGTGGCCTGCCTTGCAAGAGCAAGGACCTGAGTTCAATCCCCGGTACCCCCCTCAAAAAAAACAAAAGTTCTAAACCTGTCTGTACTAAGTAAGGACTACCTGGATGGCTTAATGGTACTTGGAAGATGACCTCTGACTGTCACAACTCCAGTTTGTCACCACTTTTCTTTGTCAGTCAGGTCTCTCACATCTTCAGATGCTCTCCCAGCACTGGCCTCCTGCTTCTCTTGTGAACTGACTGCAAATTCTTTCCCACACCATCCCACCACTGTCATTTATTCTACAGTCTTGCTCAATTCACAAGCCTTGTCCACCTACAGAATTTTCTGGAACTGTAATTTTCCATATTGGACAGAACTGGAAAGAATGGTGGCCAGTGGCCAGTGGAGGAAAGCAAAATGAATTAGAGGGCTAACACTACACCTAAAGTTTCCCTCACAGCCCACACACCAGCAGTTATTGGACACCAACAGACATCAGCATCACGGAGACACTGAGCACAACTGGCACAAGTGAATCAAGTTGTTTCTGAATGATACACAAGCACAACAAAAGGCCAGCTTGCTTGCTCCCTGCCAGGGAGCTCTGACCCTAGGACCCCTTGGGATCCCTTTGGCAGAATTCTAAGGATCTGTGCTTCTTACTCAATCACATTTTACACTGCACAAGCATGTGTGCGATTGTGACTGGACTTGGGAGGCCCGATGTTTGCAGAGGATCTCAAGGGCTCATTTCTTCAACAGACCTTAAGACCACCACTATGCAGTCGAACCCACACACAGGAGGAAACCCTGATGCAATCAGGGAGCCAAATAGGGTCTTTCTGCTCATGTATGATACCTGTTCAGTTAATAGAACAATCTTCCTCTGTGTCTATCCACTGACTTCTACCAAGATGTGTATCAGCCAACCAACCAGGCAGAGAGTTTGGATGGAGCACCTGTTACAGGTGCAGCAGCAGGCTGCTGACCCCAGATGGCAGAGTTCCTGCCTCCAAGTAACTCTGGGTGAGGGAGCTGGCATCCACTTATCAACCCCATGCAAGTCAGAACCTTGCTTTTCTTGCCTTGATTTCTGTAGAAGAGCACACAGAATGTCATTTGAACACAACCAATGGGTAGTAAATGAGTAAAATGAATGCCTCAGGTATTTGCACTGTAAATGTTGAAACGGTTTCCCCAGGTTATCAGAGGGACTACAGTGCTGATTGGACACAGCTCTTTCAGCTGCAGGATGCCGCTGAGTAAAGGTAGTCGAGATCCAGCTCATCACGCATATTAATGAACTGCACACTTCAATGAGGATAGCACCCTGAGGTTTAAACATGACATGGTTCCCAATCTTTCTTTACTCCAGATTATTGGCACAGGAAAGAACCCAGTGAGACGGCAGGCTAGGAAGATTACCTCTCCACCACATCCTTTCTTGAGCAAGCAGTAATGGTAATGGCAAGGGATTTGGGAGTTGAGAAGCATGCTGCCCAAGCACACAGAGCCATCATGCGCCCACCAGTCAGTGTGAAGCAGGCAAGCCCTCTCTCACTTCAGAGCTGAAGCTGAGACCTTCACTAGCCCTGGATCCACTCACTCAAGGATACTACATTTCCAAAGAGGCAGTTTATGAGGTTCCCTAAGTGCACCAAATCCTCCTTTAATTCAGAAGGGAAAAAAAGGGGGGCTTTGTTCTCCCTCAAAAATCCTGAGAAAGTTACTTAATATGGATGGTGACTTTGGCAAATAAATAAACAAATAAGCAATGAGTGCATTTTCAAATTAGGCTTCTTCATTTACTGAGCCTGGGATCTCTCCTAGTCCATTTCCATCCTGGAAGACACCATGTCCTCACCCACTCCAGGAGGAAGAGTCTTCCTCCTTCTCCTTGGGAAACACCTGTCTCAGAGCTCGTGGCTGTGCAGCTCCTGAGCACTCACAGGGTCAAAGCACACAAATGGTGCAGTGACTCTTCTGGAAGTCACATTTGTCCCTGAAACTTCAGTCACCTGGAGACTGCATGCCTCATTGCCTGCAGCAGCTCCATCCTGACAGTGTAGAATGAATTTAGAAAATGCATCTGAGGGACAGGATCTGAAATGACCAAACAGCACCATACACCAAACGCTGAAACAAATCCTTCTTTGCAATTTTTGCTGATTGTGGAATTTTTTTCTTGCCTTCTGTTATTGGCCTGTTACAACCATCTTGCTTGAGTTGGATTTTTTTATGGGAAAGGACTCAGCAAGCCAACCCATCAGTCAGGTGCACACCTCTGTTTTCACACACATCCTTCTGCTTTTGCTGCACACACACACACACACAATATTCCTGGAATCCCTGCTGCATATATAACCCAGTGATCTCTCACACACACAGGCAGCAAACACGAACTCCCTGCATGTCACAGTCGAGCCAGGCTGGAGAGGTATACAGTGGACATGGCACCGGGTGGATGTGTAATCAGTAATAAGAAATACAGTGAGCCCCAGAATGAGAAGAAATCCCCCAACTGTTCAGGATTCCCCCGCCCCCTTCCATTCACTGATTTATTAACCCTGAACAAAGATGTAATTGCAGGGTCTCAGAAACTTTTTTCTTTTCATTTTTTTCTTTTTTTCTTTTTTTTTCTTTTTTTTCTTTTTTTTTTGCATTTGTTCGATTTGGCTTTGAATTTCTTAATATCTGGATGTGCCATTCATTGCCTGTTTTCTTCACTCAGTTGCCCATCTTTCCCCCCCAGAAATGAAAGAAGCATCCGCTTCTGAGTCTTAAGGATGAGACCTCTGCATTTTCTTTGCTTGTTTAGGGCAAGAAATGAAGTGCTGCCTCTTTAATCGGCAGGAGCATGCAGGAGGAGCATACCTTTAATTTAGTGTTGGGATACCTCACTTGCACCCTGGCTGTTGTCTTATTGGAGACGGCAGCCTGCCTGAGATCCTCTAGCACTGAAATAATATCATCCAGCACGCATTTCTTATCCTGATTTCTCAACACACACAGATGGGAAAAAGTATAATTATAGCCCCTGTGGTTCACCTTCATTTCCAGTACGGCTCGGTGGGTCTGCAGGATCCCCTCGGCCTGGAGCAAAACATTGTCCCCGGGTGACGAGAGGAGGATCACCCTGCCGTACCTCCCAGGGGTGTGCAAGTCCGAATAGAGCTGGCTTTTGGACTGGTC